TTTAAGATAATCAGATTAGTCAGATTGGGTTGTGCTGAGCTTCAACTGGCAAGCCTCTTACCTCCAATCAGAGAGAGATGAGGTGGGGGATACAGGTAGTCTCATACATTGTCTAAAAGAATTATGTCAAAGTTTGAATTATTAGTCAAAGAATTATTAGCACATTATCATAGTAAAACTGTTAAAAGTTTTATAAATTATTAAAAACTGATAAAAGTTTATAAATGGGGTGGTGATGGCGCAGTGGATAAGACACATGCCTATGGTGTGAGAGACCCGAGTTCGAATCCACTGTGAGACACCAATGTGTCCCTGAGCAAGACATTTAACCCCTAGTTGCTCCAGAGGCGTGCGACCTCTGACATATATAGCAATTGTAAGTCGCTTTGGATAAACGCGTCAGCTAAATGAGTAAATGTAAATGCTCAAATACAGCAAAAATGTGTCTGTGTATGCAGTATTTGTGTAAAGCAGCAGTAATGTTAGAATAGCTCAAAAATAGCTCACCCAACAATGAAAATCCTGCAATTATTTACTCATCCTCATGCCCTTAAAACCGGTATACATTTCTTTCTTCTTTCTAAGGAGTTTTTTTGTTGTTGTTGTTTTTTAATGGCAGAAGGTAATGAATGTGTTTTACATTGCAATGAGCTCCATTTTAATAGTTTTATTATGTAGCCAAATATGAGCTAGAAGTATGTGTTTTATCGTTGCGCTCATGTCTCAAGTCTTTTGTAGCGTCTCTGGCATGACACTGTGTTCTAAAAACACAGCAATCAAGTTCAACTTTTAAAAACGCATCTCTAGACCTTGCAGGCTTTTTTCATTCCACAACCCTTTGTATGCCTGTCTAATTGGTCCAAAGACGCAACACAACAAGATTAAATGGAACACAATTTCTTATATGTATTTTCTCGTTATTTCATCTGACTCCATTAATGAAAAAAGGTTTCAATGATCTGTGTATCATCAAAAGTTAACGTTTGATTAATCTTTACGTTTTACCCGCTCAGATTAGGAAACTATAGGCCTAGCCTACCACTTTGAGGTCATTGCGTCTTTCGCAGGTCTCCGACACAATCTCGCCAGTTTCCGGTCATCAAACAGAGGCGATTGGCTAAATATCTGAGATTTGCCGTATTCACGTACACAATCAAAAGATACTTTAATAACCCCCTTGAAATGCCTCCTCGTGAATTTCATTCAATCGTTTTACTTCAATAGGCCTAGGGATTTTGGCCACAATTAAAAGACGTCAGTCGATCAGCTTTACTTCTCCCAAAATGTTTTTTGTTGGCCAACCCGTGATCACTCACGTATGCGTATCAAAGTAGCATTGAACCAAAACAGAGGTATTCGAGACACACATGAATCTAAGCTGATCAAAACAACATTTGCCTTTACTTAGACGGAAATATCTTGTCTCTGCACCCAAGCACGCTTGAAGTGATGTCGGATATAAATCGTCACTAATCTGACGCAAAACTTGTGGAAGTAGGCCTATACGAAAAGGGAAATACGAATTTGGGAAAAATAATCTTAGAGTCAGTCAGAATAAAATCAAACGTTTACAATTTATTGACCAGGGGCCGTATTCACAAAGAATTTTAAGGCTAAAAGTAGCTCCTAACTGGCAAATTTAGGAGCAACTCCTAAAAATAATGGGCGTGTCACTCCTAACTTTAGGACTCCTAATTTTTTTCACTAAGAGTAATTCACGAAGCATTTTAGCCCTAAAAGTAGCACCTAAGTCTGGGACAGCTTAAAAGAAGTCGAGAGGACTCCTAACTCACTAAGACCTATTCACAAAGGATTGTAGCGCATACCACCGCCTCTCGCAGTCGTCCGGGGTCCGCGACACAAGCGGGAATGCTGCATTGATCTGCAAACAAATCCTCTCCCATTCTCACGCTTAGTTTTGCTTGATATCCCAGTGCCGAATTTCACTTTTATTATGTTTTTGGGCCAGCAGCAGTAACTGATCCTGCGTCCAGTTGGGCTTTCTTTTCCGTTTTGGCGAGTTCATAATCCACCGTCATTCAACTATTATGGTGTGTTCACACCGAACGCGAATTTAATTATTTGCGCGAGTAGATTACATACAAAGTCAATGCAAAGACGCGAATAGGCGCATCATTCGCGCCGGGCGTTGCAAATGACGCGAATTGGGCGACGCGTTTGCCGCGAATGTCTTCCGCGCAAGTTGAAAAATTTGAACTCGAGCGAATGTTCAAGCGATAGACGCGTATTTGACGCTTTATTCGCGTTCGGTGTGAACACACCATTACATTACTTTTTAAGTAGTCTATTTAGGCTAATAGGATGTCAATTAACCAAGCAAGTGTTAATGCAAGTGTCGTTTTTTCATTATTAGGCAAGTGGCGGTTTTCATTGTAGGCTACCTTGATTTAATTTAATTTAATTCACGACTTCTCTCTCTCTCTGCCTTGTTAGAATTACACTTCACTGGGGCCTGCACAAACATTTCGATGACATTAGGCCTACTATTATTATTTTGTGTAGGACACAGACATATTTAGATGTCCTAAATCCATGATTTGTTGCGTCTGTGTTATGTTCCGCATGATGGCCCTGTCATCTAACAACCAATCACCGTGATCATTGCGAGGAGGCTCGTGCATGAGAAGTGACGTCATCCATAGCAACGAAGACTCACTCTTAGTTTAGGAGTTGTCATTTTTCCTTACTAAGAGTAGGTCTGAAAGGCGTTGTGAATAACTTTTAAGAGAAAACTCCTAGCTAAAATATTTTAGTGCGATTTAGGAGTACTCCTAGTGGTAAGATAAAATTCTTTGTGAATACGGCCCCAGGTAATGAAGCAATAATTCAAAATCCAATTCATGAAATCAACAGTAAATCATATCATAACAACAATTCAGAAATCAAGGAATTTGGAGAAATTATTACCAATGAAAATTACACACAGCGGTTGTGTGTGGGCAGTCAACCTATACAGACTCCTCAAACTTTTCTGCTCCTTTTCCTTTTAAACCCAGATATTCAATATTCTTTACCAAATGGTCTTGTCATTATAATTAGATTTTGGTCCCCTCTAGAGGGGTTCACAGCTTGAATGGGTTCTTGTTTTACATACAGGAGGTAGTTTAGTTTTAATGGAGGATCTGGGGGAGGGAACACCTTTAAGGGACACATCACTTTTCTCATACTTTATAACTTCTTTTAGCTTTTCATTATAGTTGGGAGAAAGAGACCATTTTACCAGGCGCACTGAGACACTTAAAATGAGACCAAACAGTGAGTTCTGGGTGAGGAGGAGAAGAGGGGGAGCAGGGGGGTGTGATGAGACTGTAAGAGTAAGGTGTGAACTGCACTGTGTGCTGTGTCTCGGATGTTCCTGTTACAAGAGGGAGTTCAAATGTTAATTCTCAGGAGAGCCTTTTGCTCTCTCAAGGGGGATGCTCAGACGAACTGGCACCTGGCTTACCCTTCGTCTTGCATTTTTAAACAAAAACGTGTTATTTTGTGATTGGCCCCTAAGCTGCTTTTCCATACGATTAAAGTGAGTGCAGCGACCACGGCTGTCAAGCAAAAGATTCCTAGTAAATAACAACTTCAATTTAATTCTGTTCCTTATATAAAAGCACAATAAAAAAAAGTCAAGGACTGACATGTGGATGAGTATTTTCATATTTGGGTGAATGACGTAGGCTATATCTACATGGCATAGCAAAGCAAGTCATTTCATGCAGAGCTGCTATGCAGATGTGCAGGATGGATCCTGATGCAGCCAAGAAAACCTGTGGCGTTCCAGGTGGGGCTAAAAAGCACTGGTCATGTTAACCCATATTGCTGACCTTCTGAACCTCAACCAACACACCTAATATGAACTTGTAAACCAGTGAGCAGGAGAATGGCAACAATTATGTAAAAAAAAAGACTGCTCTGGCAACCCTGTTATTACAAGTTTTTTACAAGTATGTTCTTGTAAGTATCTTAAAAAGCTTTCAGTAAACTCTAAGGCCTGTTTAAATTGACTGACAAAAAAAGGTCTTTAGACATTTATCTCTCAAAATCAATGTCATGCAACATATTTGGGTCCTAAAGGCATACATAATGATATTACAAAGATTCTAATTTTGGTGTAATAACAAAGATTTTGTAAGATTTCAAAAAGATGTTTATTGATATTAATGAGGATCAATTTTGAACGACTTTTTTGTGTTCAAAACTTTCTCGTTACAGTCCCAAAACTGTAAGACTCTGCTTGTCAGCATTTCATATTTGAAAAAAAGATAATCTGAATCACTTCTAAATAATCCAGGGTACATTCATTAAATCGAAGGTGCGTTCCATTCGACAGGGTCCCTGCGCAGTGTTCACTGCTCCCTACTCCCTGAACACGGTACATCAGTTGTAGTGGACTTCGCTGACAATAATCGCTCATTTGGAATGCCCTGCGACGTCATCAAAGAAAGGCAACAATGGGGTCGCGCAGATTATGATATAAATTACAATATAAAATATTGTAATTTACTTTGCTTTCTAATTTAAAATTATATAATAGGCCTATATAGAAAAAACACAAATAATAAATACAAATCAAAACATTGTATTAGTTTATTAGACTGTGCCTCAGCTGCTTCTCAACACTTTTAATTTGTGTAGATATTCATACTATGAAAATGTAACATTCATCACCCCAACCGTTCATAAATACTCTAGCTTTCATAATAATAACAATATTTATGAATACTCAAATGCATACGTAAACTCTCTTCCAACGGCTCTGCTCTATGGTTAGTTCAGACTGGTGACGCAGTGCACAATGACAGTTGGTTGATTTTCGCTCTCCACTTCCTGTGAAGTGATGTATCGATGTTCCCTTATTCCCTATGCAGTGCCCTTCGAACTGAAGATGTTCGTTCCCTTCGGATTGGAATCTCACTTAAGATGGCGAAATACCCTGTGAAGTCCACTTACGGTCGAATGGAACGCACCTAGTGTTTTTTATTTACCTGTTTCTAAACATGTACAAGAATAGCACATTTTACAATAACATGTTTACAGTATTCCTTAATAAATCACATAGGATAGGCCTTAACTGGGTGTTTTTCATTACGTAAGATTTCAGCGTTGTCATTCGCCTTTTTTGTGTTCAAAACTTTCTCGTTACAGTCCCAAAACTGTGAGACTCTGCTTGTTGTCCACCACTCTACATGGACTTACATCATCTTGAAAGAAGGACAGTCTATGGGTAAGAAGCGCAAAGGCTCCAATATTTATTTCCCCGAAGCACCTTTCACGCAGGCAGCGGAAGCAGATGTGTCTACCACAATGAGGGCAGACGATGTTGGGACAGCCTGTTCCTTTGTGTGTAAGCAGGGCCTTGCAACCTGGACAGGCCCTGAAGTATGGACATCCTCTCACCGAGCTTTGTGGGTCACTGATTTTTGTGTCGCTGAGGAGAGCAGAACGGAGCGCACAGTTCGGCAGCATGCAGGATTCGGTGGTCGAAGAGTCGCGTGGCCATTCTCTCTGACATGCCAAGCAAAACTGAAACACGCACCGCTTCGATTTAGAGCAAGACCTGCAGACTGCGCGCTGACCATCCGGAATGCCAATATCAGACTGCTGACAAATGGGACACTGGGAAAGGGGGAAAGAATTTGTGGGATTTGGTCACACAAATAAATAAAGAGGGCCCTACTTCACAGATTCCATTAACTTGCTATTCCACTTAAAAAAAATTATTTGAGTGAACATTTGCACAATATTTATAACTTCCATAAACTTTTTTTTTTTTTTACTTTATAAAGTGACATAAATCAAGAGGCAGTTAAGATTTTATTAGAGTATACAAACTGTACAAGGCTACCCGACTATGTTGGGCTATGGACACACCAGATGATAAAACATCAATAAAATATATATATATATATTATATATATATTATTATTATAGAGACACACACACACACAATGACCAGTGAAATATGTACCCTAATTGATGTAATTGAAGGTGTAATTACATTCCGAGGGGTAAATAAAGTATTTCCCCCCAATGTACTTAAATGTAAAGTTAAAGGAATGAAACTAGTACAAGTATTTTTCTTCACAGTGGGCCTACTTCAAGTACAGTTTCCTTAAATAATGCTCTAGCCTAATCAAGTACAGTATGGCAGTACAATAACTCATGTACTTTACAACCCAAATCTGAAGCCTTAACCCTGACATAGTTACATCATAAGCTTATTCATTCAACTACAGAATCAAAACTGCAAAAAAATGCATTAAGGCTAATCTTACTAGTTGCCTTAGGAGTACATTTTCGCAATTTTCACATCTAAAATAGAACTAAAATGATTGCTATATCTCAATGACCCTAAAAGTTATAACCCAGGAAGGCTCTTGTAGACACTTATCAGTGGAAAACTGCGTCACAGTTAATCAGACCCCTTGACATAGTGTGCTAAATAGAGTCTAAGAGCTTAATTCCCATCCTATACTACTCTGTCAGAACAAGTGCCTAAAAATAGCGTGTACGAAATGTCTGACGTCATGATGGATATCAGAGCTCTCGCGCGGTCAATCTACCTTTGGAACGTTCATGGCTCAAATCCTCCTGGACCACATTCACAGATGACAAACCTGAGTGAGAGAGAGAGTAGACGAGGGTCAGCAGATTAGAAAGGAAAAGGTAAGACAAAGGTATTGAGAACTGGTAGGGAAACTGAGGAGACTGACATTAGGGGAGAGTAGGATAAGATGAGCCATTTTTTACTTATGTGGTCCTCAAGATAAGAGATAATTAGGCAGGAGTACAATGAAAGTTGTAAGAAATGTGTCATCATTTTAAATGATCAGAATACATGACAAAGGGTTCTAAAAACATGGCTTCTTATAAAAAAAAGGTAAGTTGATCCGAGTCAGTGGGTAAGTTGCACCATCTGGGTGTAAACTGACCAACTGAATCTGAATCAAACCCATGTGAAATTTTAAAGATAATTTATCTCTTTTAAAAACTAATTTAATAACCAAATTTCCTGTTATTAATAGTCATATTTATTTTCTTAAAGCTAACTTAAACAACATAAAACCAACCAAATGAAGTTGAAATTTCAATATCTTTAATTGTTTGCATTTCTGAAACAATAAGTTGAAGACCAAAGTTCTAACCTTCCCAAAAACAGACTAAACAGAGAGTTTGTTGAGTATAATTAAATAAAAAACGTAATTAGAATGAATGAATAAATGGCGCTGAAACTAATAAACATTTTAGTCAAACGGTTCTTGGCATGGTAGTTTTTCCTGCAATGTCGAACATGTTAGGCCATTAGGGACTACAGGTGGAAAGATATATGATTAAGCATCTTTTGGTTCTTATCAGAGAAGTTTATTTGATTGTTCCCATCAAATAAACTCAAAAAAAAAAAAACTAGTTGCGTAATATTACATTGAAATTATACCAGTTTATACTTCAGATATTTAACTTAACTACAGTGCCCTATATGGTGGGGTAAGTTAAAACGCTGGCTCAATTTAACCCACAGCATTTGGCTCACTTTGCCCCCATAACTGCCATTTTGGACAACTAGCTTGCTTACCAATTCAGGCTGATATTTTGCTAAATGATTTGCATGATTTTATAATTGCTAAATCACCAATATGGATCAAAACTATTTTTAGACATGGACAAATTTGCTTTGATGTAACAGCCATTACATTTGTTATGCTAAAATTTTACTTTGACAACCCAAAAACAGTTTTTAAAGTAAATGGGTGTCTTCCACTCCTCCTGTGTGTCACAGTCTGACAGAAATCACGAGTGGTTCCAAAATATGTGGTCAAATGACAATAAAACAAAAAAAAAGAGGTGGGTGAACTCCCCCCCTATACCACAAATGATCCACCACATGAAAATGTACTAAGTGCACCAGAATAACATCTAAGGTGTAAAATAACAGGCACTTCAAACATCAAATTTTTTTTTTGCCAACAAGAAAATATAATTTTTTCCTATAAGTGTGAATTCGAAAAGTCTGAATTATATTCAGTGACTGTTGCAATAGGATGTAAGCCTATAAGAGCAGCAAACAACTAGAAGTAAAATTAATAAACCAGTACGTACCGGTGACTCAGTGTTCTGTCCACTTCTTTGTGCATAGAGACACAAAACGTTTCTGTTTATTTCCTGTAAGCTTAAACATACTGAAGGGGAATACCAACAGACCTGCTTCTTTCACTTTCAGTTTTTACACAGAGAATATAATAGATACAAAAGATACCATATTGACAGTCTAATATAATCCTGTATGTGTCGTTGTTTGTTTGTTTTTCTTGAAAAATACTATTAATTGAAAAGATGCCAGCAGATGTTTCGTGATATGGGTTTATATAGTGACAGCTGCTGACCAGTGAAGGAAAGTTCTGGCTCTGTCCCTTTATATTCTGGCTCTGATCACTCATCAATGCTGTTATTATGAATCTGTTTTACTGCATTCTAATCCTCTTTACCGTAATCTATATGTTCTGTGGTACTTTTCCCTTCTCGAAAAATGTGAAGATTCACTGCAGCTTTTACAACAAATCCTATTCAAATAATGAAATGAAATTACATGCAGAAGTTCTAACAGTCAAACCAAAATCACAAATTTAATATGAATTCTTCAGTTCCAAAATGCTTCTCTTCATTCTCTTAAACAATTATTTGAATCATCAGGATTATAATTTGATCTAATTATAATGAGATATATTTCTGCACCTCTGGCTTACAAAGAAAAGAGAAAAACAGAACTTTTTGGAGTAAAAATGTATTCTCTTTGGAAATCAAAATACAGTATTCTCACTTTTCCTTTCTCATTATTAAATCAATCAAATTTAAATTAAAATGTTATTTTTAGTAGTTTATCCTCAAAGTTATTCCATTTATCCACTACTACAGTTCTAGATGTCGAAGGATCTCAGTGTTATCCACTATCACACAGGGCTCTGGCTCAAGATCATCATCATCATCATCATCATCGTCATAGTCTTCATTGTCATAGCATTCTGGGCGCAGGCAGCGAAAGCAGAACTCCTCGTTGCAGTGTGGACAAATTATGTTAGGGCACCCCTCACCGTTGTGTGTTAGTAGGGCATGACATCCAGGACAGGCCCTGAGGTACGGGCATCCTTTCACCGAACTTTGCGGTTCACTGATCAGTTTCACGCTTAGGAGGGCAGCACGGAGCGCACAGTTCGGCAGCATGCAGGAGTTGGTGGTCGAAGCATTGCGAGGCCATTCCCTCTGACATGCCCAGCAGAACTGAAACACGCACCTCTTCACTTTAGAACAAGACTTGCAGACCGCACGCTGACCCTCCAGCTTTCTGATATCAGACTGCTGACAATGGGGACACTAAAAAGTCAGACAAACAGTGAACATTCATCCCTCAGTGACCCTTTTCTGCAGGATACATCATCAAATGACGTTGGTCACTATGAGCCAACCACTAAAAAAGTATGTTCTATATAGAATGAATGTGTGTAATATGAATATAATTCAAACGAAGTACATTCAAAATGTTTCAACACGCTTCACTACCTTTCACAACTCCTCTCATGTGACCTCATGGGATAGTAAAGTGTCCATTATCCACACTTCAGAATCTTGCCTGAAGCAGTAGGTTTTCCGGATACTTTTTGCCCACTCTTTTATGAGTACTATGAATTCAGACATTCTTCTTGTCATATACTGTTGCCTACTATATAGTAGGGAAGTATGTGATTTTGGATGCAGCCATTCTGAAGTGCGTTAAGAACACTTTACTATACCATGAGGCCATGGAAGAGGATTTGTGAATGGAAGGGAAGCAACGCAGCTGACTCCCTAGGTCACATGACAGTGACAACATGGCAGATGTAGTACAACCGAGTTTCATTCATACTACATACATTCATACTATATAGAAGATACTTTTTAATGGTTGCGAAGCAAGTTTAAAACCAAATGTAGTACCTACTATACAGTATGCGGTTTCGAACACAGCTGTCCTTATGATTGAGTCATTGAATTATTCACTCAACTGATTCTATCAAAAACACTGAGTCATTCGGTAACAAGGGCAACTGTGTGTTGGTTGGAGATGCAATACAGTGATTAATTGTGCTGGCTTTGTTGGAACCATTTTTGTTGGTGGAGCAAAAAAAAAAGAAAAAAGAAAGAGGCAAATTTGTGTCTAAAAGTTATTTATTATACTATCTATTATTGAAGTGTTATTTAAAATTCACTGTATAAGTGCATAACTTGACTAACAACATATTGCGGCTTTTCTGGAAAAATATGTTTACACTCAGTGCAGACCACTTGAATGCACTAAATTAAAATTTCCTTCCTAGAGGATTATGTTATAATGAGGGCAGATTGTACAAATTCATGAAAATAAAATGAAAATGAAATTAAAATAAAGCATTACCTTTGGACTGTTCATGGTTTAAAATTTCCTGTTCCACATCCACAGATAGACTGAGAAACCTGTGAACAATACAAAGAAATACTGATAATTTAGAGTAAATTAAAAGGTGTTTAAGCCACTGGAGAACAACACATGCATATTCAACATACACAATTTTTAAATCAGTCAGGAAAAGGCCAATTAATCAATGCCTAATTCTTAATACAACGAGACAACACTTATTCATTCCTAGTGTACAAGTCATAAATGTACAAATGTCAATTTCCTCTGAACTGACTGTTCACAATGATAACAGAACATGTAGAGAGTGAAGTAACTAAAAACAAAAACATTAAGCAAATAACAAATACCTTCTTTACTGGTAGATCATAAACACGTCTGTGCCTGAACCGGTATGTTCCTGCTTGTAATCACAGCTTGAATGAAGGGGAATACCAAAGAACCACATAACTTTCACTTTGTCTTTACTCACTAATGTCAAACACAACCTTAAATGACCTTTTTTCACTGCTTCCTAACTGATTATATGACAGAGTGGGATCATTTTAACTGACATTAACAGTGAGTGCAAGATTTATTGTCTGTTCAGGTTACAAACGAATCGGTTACCTAACGTAACCTCGGTTCTCTCTAGAAGAGGGAACGAGTATTGCGTAAGCTAGCTTACGCTGCGGGAAAGATTCATCTTTGCTGAGAGTTTGAAGCCAAAAAATTATTTCATAATTTGTATCCATTGACAACGCAGTTCCTCTGCGGCAGACCTAGAGCAGGCTAGCTAGCAGCTCATTGGTTCGCTCAGAGAGAACTGCTTAAGCCTATGGGAGAGCGGGGCTGAACCCGCTTCCAATGAGAGGCGCCCGCGCGCTCATTGCGTCATGGCCCGCCAGAATGGGCGTGGCTATGGTGTATATAACAGTCTCTCCCAGGCTTATATGTTGATTTATTTCAGCGTGAAGCGAAACGCTAGTAGCGCAAGCACGGCCGGGAACGCAATACTCGTTCCCTCTTCTAGAGAGAACCGAGGTTACGTTAGCTAACCGATTCGTTCTCTTACGAGAGGTTCTCTCGTATTGCGTAAGCTAGCTTACGCTGCGGGAACACCTGGTCAACGCCGTGCGCGCTATGAATCCACTCATGAATCCCAGGGTGATACCGGGGGATTTTTAACGTGGAGTGAATGTATTATGAGGCCGGCAGAGCGGGCACATGAAGTGTATACATAAGCATGTATGAGGCCGGCAGAGCGGGCACATCAAGTGTATAAGCATTTAAGGAGAGCACAAGGGGCGAACCGGTTGTGTGAGGGACTCCCAGTAATGCAGCTTCTTAGGGAGCTGGTCGTTAGACAATTAGTAATTTTGCCTGCAAGGCGGGAACTTCCAAGTTGTAAAATCTGACAAAAGTGGACGGGGAGGCCCATCCCGCGGCCACACAAATGTCATGAATGGAAATTCCACAGGACCATGCCCACGATGAGGCCATGCCTCTAGTGGAGTGCGCCCTGATGCCCAGAGGGCAGGGCAGGCATTTAGATGCGTAAGCAGAGGCGATAGCGTCTACTATCCATCTAGACAGTGTCTGTTTAGAGGCGGCCAGACCTTTGGTGCGCCCCCCAAACGACACGAAAAGCTGCTCAGCGCGTCTGAACGCGGCAGCGCGCGTAGTGTACAATCTCAGAGCCCGCACCGGGCAGAGGAGATTGGCGTCGCGCTCACTATCGGATGAAGGCAGAGCCGATAGGGAAATAATCAGAGCCCTGAACGGGGTACCAATCGCCTTCGGGACATAGCCATGTCTAGGTTTGAGAATGACAACAGAATCATTCGGTCCAAACTCAAGACACGCGGCGCTGGATGAGAGCGCGTGAAGATCCCCCACGCGTTTTACTGAGGACAGAGCCGTCAGAAAAACGGTTTTGAGCGAGAGGTATTTTAGGTCCACAGACTCGAGCGGTTCGAACGGGGGTGCTTTCATAGCTTCGAGAACTATAGAAAGATCCCAGATAGGAACCGAAGGGGGGCGCGGAGGGTTCATCCTCTTAGCTCCCCTGAGGAAGCGGATGACTAACTCGTCTTTGCCCAGGGACTGAGCGCGTCGGGGTTCAGAGAACGCCGCGACGGCTGCCACGTAAACCTTGAGAGTGGAGGGGGACCTGCCCTTGTCCAGCATCTCTTGAAGGAAAACAAGCAAAGACGGCACCTCGCATGACCGTGGGTCCAGATGTTTGTCGGTGCACCATTTTGAGAACACAGACCATTTAGACGCATAGAGCCTTCTCGTGGAAGGTGCTCTAGCCTGTATGATAGTGTTTCTTACTCCTTCTGGCAAATCGACGAATAGTCGTTGATCACCCATGCATGTAGCGCCCAGCGCCGTGGATGGGGGTCCCAGATCGTGCCGCGAGCTTGAGAGAGGAGATCTGCTCTGACTGGGATGGGCCACGGGGCTGTCTGTGACAGCTGAGTGAGCTCCGGAACCCAATTCTGACTCTCCCAACGCGGGGCTATGAGGAGCACCGAGTGGCGTGTGTCCCTGATCCTCTGAATTACCTGTGGTAGCAGAGCGATCGGAGGGAATGCATAGAGCGGGCGGCGAGGCCATTCCTGGGCTAGCGCGTCCTCGCTCCTTGAGAAAAATATTGGGCAGTGAGCGTTCTCTTCTGACGCGAAGAGGTCCACCTCTGCTCTGCCGAATAGCCGCCACAGTATTTGGGGTACACGGCTGTTTAACCAAAGCTGAAACGGACGCATGTGCAGAAGGCCCAGCTGAAGCACAGCGGAGGCTGAGGCCATGTAACCCAGCATCCTCTGAAAAGCTTTCAGAGGTGTGCGGGTGCCCATCTGAAACGAGGCGGCCAGTCGCTGTACACTGCGCGCGCGCTGTGTAGACAGGCGAGCCGTCATCGTGACCGAGTTCAAATCTATTCCTTGAAAGGAAATCGATTGACTGGGTTGAAGGGAGCTCTTTGTCCAGTTGACAGAGAGGCCCAGCGTTTTCAGATGGTCGAGGAGAACTGCGCGGTGCGACAGAAGCTCCGTCTGTGATTGGGCCAAAATCAGCCAGTCGTCCAGATAATTCAATATGCGCAGCCCCTGGCTCCGCAGGGGGGCGAGCGCCGTATCCATGCACTTCGTGAATGTACGGGGCGCCAGGGATAAGCCGAACGGGAGAACGGCGTATTGATAAACATGACCCTCGACGGCGAAACGTGAGAATGGCCTGTGACGGGGATTTATCTGGATCTGAAAATAGGCGTCTTTCAGGTCTAGAGAGATGAACCAGTCCCCCTGGCGCACCTGCGCGAGGAGTTTCCTGGTAGTGAGCATCTTGAACGGTCTCTTCATGAGGTCTGAGGCCGCCGTCTTTCTTGGGAACCAGAAAATAACGGCCGTAAAACCCCCACTCGGTCATAGATGGTGGGACTCTCTCTATGGCGCCCTTTTGCAACAGCGTCGCAATTTCTGAGCGGAGCGTGCCGGCGGCCAGCGGGCTGACAGTAGATTCGAGCCGCGCGCGCGCACGAGGCGGGCGGCGGCGAAACTGTAGCAGATAGCCGTTCTTTATAATGCTTAGCACCCACGGGGAAATGCCTGGAATGGCCTCCCACGCTTTGGAGCATGCGGCTAGTGGCCGAATGGCTATATCGCCCTGATTGCTGCACATAGCGGCCTGGACACAGTGTGTGGGCGCGCTTTGAATGTGTGTGGCAACGGGATTTGCACTCAGAGAGGAGTCTATGGGCCGTGAAACAGAGCGAGCAGAGAGGGGACACGCGCACGAGCTCGTGGGCGTGTTTATGTTCTCTGATATTAGAGCGGGCTGTGCCCGTTTCATGTGATGGGGCTCTGAGAGAGACACGGGATATGTTATGCTTGTGTGTATGGGTGAGCACATGATTGTGGGCACATTTTCTACACAACTGGCAAATTTTCTCTTTTTGAGATTTCTCTGGGTAGCCGTAAAAACGGCTTTTTGTCGCTCGCAAGCGGGCTGGGACACCGGCTTGTTTGTGGCGGTCAACACTACAGCAGTCGGCGAAACAACGGGGACTGGCAGAGGGCGAAGCTTTGACGGCGGTCCGGCCGCAGCGGGAGAGCACCGTCGTTTTCTTAACTTTGCTAGGCAGACTTCTGATGATCAGGCTTCAGCGTGATCTTGGGTCGCGGGCCCCGTGGGGGCGGCGGTCTGCGGCGGCTGTCAGAGCGAGAGCGAGGGCGGCCGCCCTGTCTGCGCTGGGCTGTTTGAGTCTGCGGAGGGGGGCGCTGTGGTGGAGCTCTGGCAGGAGGCTCGCGAGAGCGGCCCGCGGAAGAGCTAGCGCGGCGGGGCAGAAACAAATTCATGGCCTGAGTAGCTTTCTGGACCTCGGAAAAGCGATCGACGATTCCCGTGACAGCAGATCCAAAAAGGCCCGTCGGGGAGAGGGGCGCGTTAAGAAACGTGGCGCGCTCAGAATCTCCCATGTCGGCGAGCGTGAGCCATAAGTGTCTCTCGGCTACACAAAGGCTGGCCATGCATCTCCCCAGAGCTTGTGCGGCGGCTTTAGTGGCGCGAAGGGCGAGGTCCGTAGCACTTCTCAGATCCGTGACAGCGGGGGAGGGGTTTCTACCGCTTTCGGCCCACTCACGGAGAATATCGCTCTGTAACACTTGGAGGACAGACATAGAATGTAGCGCTGCGGCGGCCTGACCGGCGGAGCATGAAAGCTCGAGGTCGCTCTGCAAGCTTTCGAAGGAAGCGTGGGGGAAGAGCGCCATCTAGCAGAGGGCGGGCAGAGGTGTGCGGCGACCAAGTCCTCAACGGGCGGCATGGCTGAGTAACCTTTTTCGGCGGCTCCGTCCACCGAGCGCAGCGAGGCGGATATATCGGAGCGGTTTCTAGCCGAGAGCGGGGCATTCCAGGACTTCGTCAGCTCTGTGTGAAGTTCAGGCAGGAATGGGGCGGCCCGGTTGCACGCGGGGGTCGAGGGCCGATGAAAAAAGCTGCCGTCCATCCGGTTCGGGGCCTGCTCGGGTGGAGGAGACCACTCGAGACCGAGGCGTTCGACGGCCTGTGAGAGGAGGCGCATTAGTTCCTCCTCTATCCTGGCGCGGATCCCCGCCGACTCTCTCGTGGATCCGAGAGATGACCATTCTTCACTGTCTGACGCGAGCAGTGAACAGGAATCCTTCTCCTCCGTGGCGTCATCGGAAGCGACAGAGCGGCCACTCGGCGGCAACTGTATGTCCGGCAGGGGCGGGGAGGGAGAGCGGGAAGCGGGAAGCGGCGGCGGCGGCCCGCATGGTTCCGCAGGGGGCTCCGGCGGCCTCTGGGAGTGGCGTTTCTTCTTACGCGGCGAAGAGGGAGGCGGCGCGGGAGCGGATTTTGCTGCCAGAAGTCGTGCCCGCAGGGACGACAACGGCA